AGAGGGAACTGGGATTGACATGTAAAAGAAGCTTGTTTCTAAGAAAAAAAAAAGAATGTAGCTCAGTGCTAGGGGCCACATGTAGCAAGCACTTAAACAGATAACTTGTAGTAGCACTAATCTGAGTGCAGCAGCCCTTAAGTACTGAAGTTTGTAGTATTTCAACTCAAAGTAAAAGTAGAGTCTTCAAGATGATTCTTACTGAAGATTGCTTCCTATCATCCAGAGAAGAATAAAAAAACAAGCTGTCATCACCTCAAAGTCCCATGGGTAGAAGGCAAGGCTTAGTCCTAGCAAAAGAAACTATAGGCCTATCCCTTATAATGAATAATTGTAGAAATCCCAAAGTATTAGCAAATCTAACCCAATAATACGCTTAGGAAATTACTTACCATAACCAAATACAATTTATCCCAAGAAGGCAAAGATGGTTTCACACAACAAAATGAGATTTTAATAAAATGGGGCAGGGGAGTGTGAAGTGGGGTAGGGGGTAGACCTCAACAAGGTTGTCTCAATAGACTCAAAAGGTATTTAACAATACCCAACATCCTTCTAAGAAAGATGGAAATTATTCAACAAGAAAAAGGGAATTGTGAAAACCCCCAGTTAGTATTATACTCGGTGGTGAAAAAGAGAAAGCTTTCTCCCTAAGAACAAAAACAAGGAATAAAAGGCATTCAAGTTGGGAAGGAAGAAATAAAGACTTTTTGCATGATGTCTTACACATGGGAATCCTCCCCACATCGAGGAGGGAAAAAAAAAAAAAAACTATAAGAATGCTAAATCCAGGGGCTGGAGTGATGGCTCAGAGGTTAAGAGCACTGTCTGCTCTTTCAGAGGGCCTGAGGTCAATTCCCAGCAACCACATGGTGGCTCACAACCATCTATAATGAGATTTGGTGCCCTCTTCTAGGCTGCAAGCATACATGCAGACAAAACACTGTATACATAATAATAAATAAATCTTAAAAAAAAAAAAAAGAATGCTAAATCCAGCCAGGCATTGGTGGTGCATGCCTTTAATCCCAGCACTCGGGAGACAGAGGCAGGTGGATCTCTGAGTTCAAGGCTAGCCTGGTCTATAGAGCAAGTTCTAGGACTACCTCCAAAGCAATGCAGAGAAACCCTGTCTTGAAAAAACAAAACAAAAAGAATGCTAAATCCTATTAAGAAAGTACAGTTCAAAATGTCAAAAGCCCAAAGCATTTACACCATGATTTTATGTTTATTCTCCTGAAATTAAACTACATGGCACAATGGGGAAGTGAATCAATGCATATGTGCATAAAAATGCCATAATGAAACCCATTATGTTGAACGCTAACTTAAAAAAAAAATAAAATGAAGAAATGATACTTTGGGTGGAAAAAAAACAAAAACAAAACACCCAAATTGTGACAATTTTAAAAATAGTAATTAAAACACACACACATGCACATAGACAGAAAGAGGTATTTAAACCAGCTGAGATAGTCAAGCATTTTGTGTTAAGGGTGATCAGCAACAAAAATATCTTGCTCCTAGCCTATGCAGATGACACCATCAATAAGCCAACAGTTTCCTGTGGCACATAGTAGTTGATTTACTATTGAAGAAGTAATTGTTTTTATGCAAGAGACCAGTAACTATTTACTGTTGTAAAATTTTTTCCTATTATTGTCCGAGGAAGATGCTAAAAATCAATGTGTATAAAACAGAAGATAAAATGTAGACAAAACCTTATAAATTAGTTTATTTTCTAGAAAGAGGCAAGAATCCTGTATTTCTTGATACAAGGTTTACAGAAATTTTTCTTAAGAGACTGTCTGAAGCAGTAAGTACTTGCAAGTATTTCAGAAATTTAAAACAAATTATTTATCCTGCCCTCTATACTAGTGTCCTGACAGCAAAGGCAAAATATCATGTTTTTGATTAATTTATTGACACTCATCTCCACTTTTTTTAACATAAAATGTCCCACCAAAACAAAATTGTTAATGCAAAAACTCAAGAAAATGAAAGAAGTTTTCAAAAGAAACCTACAGGCAACAAAGATGTTGGAATTATTGAGTAGGAACTAAAAAAAAAAAAAAAAAACGAGAACAAGCAAAAAAAAAAAAAAATCACTGTTAACTGCATTGAACTGAGATGTAGCAGCACCATGCCCATAGTCCCTACTCTGGAGGTAGATCTAGATGGGAGGATTTGAAATTCAAGGCCAACATGAGCTCATGAGCTACAATGAGACCTCGTCTCAGAAAAGCATAAAGTTAAGCATCTAATCAAAGAGATACACCATGTGTACAAGGGAGCAATTCAACACCGAGCATGAGTGTGTGTTTATGTCTGTGCGTCAAAAGACATAAAAGCAAATGACATCTGAGTAACAATGAACAGACCTCATATTTACTTTGGGGTTCTACATAGTATTCTATACTACAAGGAACCAAATCCTTGGAAAAACAGCCATGCCTCACAGGAAACTACAACATGGGTCTTAAGTATCTTATATTTTTCATAAAAAAAAAAAAAATCCCCAAAGGATAAAGAAATTTGAACAACAAACTTAAAACAACAGTAACAGATTATAGTTCACTGAATAAAATAGGAACTATGAATCATTGAAATAAATATACAGAGAGTAGACAGAAGAGCCTTCCTTTTAGTAGGAAACAGCCTGCAAACTCTGAAGATTAGAAGGACCATCACTTCACAGATGGCTTCATAAGAACCACCAGTGGTTGGAACAGACAGGAAATGTTCTAAGGACACTACCAGGGCAATTATGAAATCTGGGTATACACTATTAGATTCCTGAATCTCTGGTAACTGGAAGGGAACAAGTCTGCCCCTGTGTGGTGGCACACACTTTTAATCCCAGACTGAGGAGAGGAGACAGAGGCAGATGGATCTCAGCGCTCCAGGTTAGCCAGAAGTTCCAGGTCACCCAGGGCTATGTGGCGAGACCCTGAAGACTAAAACTGTGAATCTCTAAGCAGTAAGAAAGCATGGCAAATGCTAACGGAAGTCTCAAACGGCTTCACAGTAATTCTGAATGTGTGCCTGTAGATGTCCACGTGCTAGAAGATGGCGGGAAGGAGAATGGGAGAACGATACAGTGATGCTGTAAAGGTCAAAACTTGATGAGTTTTGGTAAAGAGTATATGGAAGGTGGTTGTACAATTCATGAACCATAATTCTGAAGTTATTTCAAAATTAAAAGTTCGAAGAGAGAAAAGAGAGACACAGGCACTGGCATTCCGAAAAGGCTACACCCTGAACACAAGGACCTATAGAATCCCAGTGGTCCCAGGACAAAATTCACTGAACTTATGAGCAGGAGGAAAACTTATATTTTATTATTTGTTAAAAATGGTCTACTTTGGGGGCTGGAGAGATGGCTCAGAGGTTAAGAGCACCAGCTGCTCTTCCAGAGGTCCTGAGTTCAAATCCCAGCAACCACATGGTGGCTCACAACCATCTATAATGAGATCTGGTGCCCTCTTCTGGTGTGCAGATATACATGGAAGCAGAATGTTGTATACATAATAAATAAATAAAATCTTAAAAAAAAAAAAAAAAAAGGTCTACTTTGGGCTAGAGAGATAGCTCAGCAGTTAAGAGCACTGACTATTCTTCCAGAGGTCCTGGGTCTACTTTGGGCTAGAGAGATGGCTCAGCGGTTAAGAGCACTGACTATTCTTCCAGAGGTCCTGAGTTCAATTCCCAGCAACCACATGGTGACTCAAAACCACCTTGAATGAGATCTGGTGCCCTCTGCTGGAATGCAGGCAAAAGTCTTTATACATAATAAATAAAAAAAATCTTAAAAAAAAAAAAAAAAAAAAAATTTTTAAAAAAAAAAAAAAGTCTACTTTAAATTGTATGTATATATATGTATACAAATGAGCTATGGGAGTGAGGATGCCCACAGGGTCCAGAGGGGGCATCGGGATCTTGTGGAGCTGGAATTACAGGTGATTGTGAGCCGCCTGATAGTGTTCAGCTGGCAACAGAGCTTGAGTCCTCCCTCTACAAGAGCAGTAAAGTACATGCTCCAACTGCTGAGCCATCTCTCCAGCCCCAAACAGATTCTAACTGCAATAATCTTTAATTGATACTTTTCCTCAATTACAAAATGCTGGCAGTGAGCAATAGGAATCCTATCACCAATAGGAATCACATTTTTATCAAAATAATGTACAAACTATTCAGCATTTTCATAATATAGTTCTTATACCCACTGTCAGGCTGTATTTAATAAATACATTGTAAAAAGAATATAATAGCACAGTATTTGCTTTAATTAAGACACATTACTTATTTTGTTTATATGTGTGTGTGTGTGTATGTGTGTTGCACTAGAAATTTATACTGAGTGTCTTCCTCAGTTGCTTCCCACCTTATTTTTGAGACAGGACAGAGTCTCCAAGCTCAAGGACTACAAAGGGCCTGGCTTCTTAAGCAGGTGCTGGGGATCCAAACACAGGCACCACCCCAGCCCTTCACAAGTCTGCTTTTTAAAGATTTCAGTAACTTTACTTCAAAATGACTGGTTCTTTGTAGCCCTGTGCATTTCACTTTATTCATTACAAAAGTTAGTCTGAAAAACCAGACCATGAGCTTCAGAATGCCCCAAAGTTCTATGTTCAAAAAAGTTAATTACTTCTCTATGGTATATATAGATCCCTGATTTCTTTTAAGTATGTCATAATGAGATAAAGTAAAATCAATCACTATTGCTTTGTTATAAAAACAACTTACAAAGCAGTGTGTATTATTGACTGTGAATACTTACCTAACTTTAGTTTCAAATTTCTCATAATTACTAGAGCAAATGATATGAAGATAAAACCTCCAACCTCACACAACGGAAGCATCCAATAACAAACAGCTCTCTTACACACGTAAAAACATGCAGACACAGTGCGGCTATGAGAATGAATCACAAGGTGAAATGTCTCAGCTAAGCGTTCATACACCTTAAAGAAAGAGGATAGAAATGCAGTAGTATTTACCATCTCTCTTTTGGAAAGTTTTTTATAATTTCTTTTATGATTGGCTTATAGCAGGCATCCCTTTCTGTTTTCCCAGTTTCACTCCAGTCTCTTACAAACTGTTTCAACGTAGATTTTAACTTGTCCATGTCAAAAGTAGATGCTGGCGTAATCTTTCCATTACCCTGTTTAAGGGGGAAAGAAAAAAAAAAAAGAATTATTTTCTGAGAGTCAATTTTGAATATGGCTAAATGAGCATTCTAAGATATAGGTGGATGAGTGGATAATTACTAGTCTCTCACCCTCGCCTAAGGTCTCAAATGCAGCTTGTGATCCTACATGAGAAAAATTTGGTGCTCTCATGTCTACCCTTAACAGAGGAAGATTCATTAATCATAAACAACCACAAAGTGAAGCAGTCCTTACTCGGGAAAGGACCAGCACTGAGAGGATGTGCTATGGAGACAGAACATCCCACCTTCCAGGAGAGGGAAGAAAACCCCTCCAGCTCATTGATGGGCAGCACTGATGGCTAATACTGGACTGGCCAAACTGCATGTAACATGTGGATACAAAGAGACTTCAGCTTCTATTACTGCCAGTCACTTGAGATTTACACGAAAATATTTTTATTTTAAAGTGAAAGGTGAATATTAACAAATGGGAGACACTGAAAAAGCAGCAAGGGAAACTAATATAGCTAGTAAAGTCGTTTAAAAATTTAAGTAAGTCCCTTGTATACTATAACATTCAAAATACCATGTGAAAGCATCAACAATTATCTAGGTGTTAAAAAAAAAAAAAACAATGAACAAATGCAATCTCTAGCATACTATTCTTCTAGCTTCATCACATCCTCAATAAAGTGGATGACCCGCTCAAGACCTGGGCATATAGACAGTTACCCTAAAATGAAAAGAGATAGAATAAGTTTCACATACATCTTCTCCATATTCTTTATTTTCAAACATATGTATGCAATCATTCACAATGGTCAGCAGTATTTCCTGATTATGATCAATGCATTTCCGGATCTCGTCCAAGTGAAGAGGAAAGCGAGGAAGCAGTTGCTGCTGGTTATGTGGAAGTGATCGAAATTGTCTTTCTGTTCGGTTCACTCGTTCGTGCATACTGGTGCTAAAACAGAAAAGGTGTTTTATTCTAATTGGCAAAAAGAATTCTCTCACCAGAGGCAACCTCGTTTTAAGATCGTCACCCTACATAACTATTTCCCAGTTATGCTGGACACTGCGCTTATTCACTATCCTTTGACTTTTGAAGGATATCAGCTTAGAAAGTTTATGTTTTTACTGCATGAGGAATACTTCTCAGAGCAATGAACAACAACAAAATGGTAAAAAGCAGACATGTGCACTAATAAGAGAAAACAAAGATTAATTTACAATTTTTTAATTAATTTCAGTTTTCAAATTAAATACTTTGGACAAAACTGGAGGATGGCTTTGATTCCTATTTCATCAAGTAGTAACATGTTGCTGTAAAAGTACATTAAAATGGCTTGGGTATATACTTCAGTGACAAAGTACTTGTCCAGCATGTTTGAGGAGCCTAAGTTAAATCCCCAGAATCAAAATAGTAGTATGTTTTGAAACTAACTAAAAGCCAGCCAAGTTGAATTTTGAAAAATATAAAGCATATAATACAAAAGTATTACACAAATAAAAATTAAGATTCTAAAGTGTAATATTCACAGTTTTCATTGCAAAGGTTTCCTAAATTGAAAGGTTGCTTTGGGGACTGCTTATTCAGGAAGTAAAAAGAACAGCCTTATTTTTAGAACCTAAGTATAATCACAACTAAGTGTCATTTTACATCAGCCAAACTGGCAAAAATCTAGAAATCCAACTAGACCAAATGTTGGTGAAATTGTGGAAAAATTAGAACATTTACCCACTAATGGTGAATGCAGAGATGAGTATAACCACTTTGCAAAATAACAACATCCTTAGTTAACCTTAATGTTCTACCTGCCCTATGATCTAAAAATTGTACTCCAACACATACTCAAGAAAAACAAGCTATCTTCACCACAGCACTGTCAAATAGCAAACATAAAATCCCACAGACCACAAAAAGCCCATTATTGGTGGTCAGGATAAAGAAATCATAGTTACATAGTGGAGTATAGAGAAATGAACAAAGTACAGCTACAACTGTAACACAGATAAAAATGAGAATACAAGTATTTGTTGAAGATAGCAAATTAAAGAACACATGATATACAACTCCATTTTATATAACATTAAATAACACATTGTTTAGGAACCAAGCAAGTATGAAAGGAAATGAAGTTTCAGAAACACCCTCTCTGAGGAAAAGGAGCGGGACAGTGTGTGTGTGTGTCTGCGTGCGCCCGCTCATAAGCATTCACTGCAGCATTCTTTATATTCTCTATATACAAATAAAACAAGTATTTCTTTAAAATGAAAAAGTAAATACTTTCTGTGAAGACTAATGACGCACAGAAGAAGCTCTTGCTATGCATACATGTCATAGTCACAAAGCATGGGTGGCACTCTGGTAGAGAGGCCCTGAGGATGACGTAAGAGGCCACCTGAGCAGTGGTTGCATGGACACTGATTTTTTTTACACTGGGGACAGTATGACCGTTCTCAAATCTGTTACCACTATGTGATCCTTTTACACCCCTAAGTGTCTTGATAAAACAAGGTAAAAATAATGATCATGGAAATATCATTTATTGAAATGTAATAGCTGCCAAGCATGTACATAGCCCACAAGATATGTATAATTATAGTCCTCTTATAAAACCCACAAGGTAGGTATCATGATAATAGTCCTCTGTTTGTTCCATCAGTCTTCACTGTATATGAAAACTTAGTGAACATAGTTAAGTACTTGTTTTGGTTTATATAAAGTTCCTTTCCTTAAAGAAGAAAAAAAAAAGCCAAAAATATATATTAAAGTCCTGGTTCCTAGCTAGTAGTACTTTCTGGGGTCGGTTCTAGAAAGTCTAAGAGGTAGCTGGAGATGATACTGGGGCATCTTGTGCAGAGCCTCATTCTTTCTGCTTGCTGGCAGCCAGGTTATCAGCTGCTCTGCTCAGGCATCTTTCCTCACAGCCAACTGAGACCTTTGAAACTGTGCATCAAAATACATTTGCAGCCCCCTCAAGTTGTTTACAATAAGGTTTATCTCAATGACTAATACAGCTGACTAATACAGCATGCAAAATATAGCAGGCAAGCCTACTTTCTACCTATTAACAAATCCACAGAAGAAGTACCAGAAAAAAAAAATGTAGAAAAGTAAAAAAAAATGTAGAAAAGTAAAACTACTCAGGGAAAGAGATAGCAATCTCTCTTCTAGAAAGAATTACTTCTAACCTTTCACATATAGCTATTAAAGGCACTTTAGCTGTTAAAGACAAATCCATTCAAGACTGAATTCACAAATTATATGCATTTGTGGAATATAAAGTGATATTTAACCCCCCCATCTTCACCCCTCCACTCCTATCTGGTGATTAACTACCATCCTCTCTTTTATCTGTGACTGTTTAAGATTCCACACATAACAACATGAGCTATCTGTCATTCTGGGCCTGGCTTGCTGTCATGTAACAGCTACACCAAATGCAACAGCAGACCTCTCAGAATGGTTAGGGATGCACATCAGGCCAGACCTATGGCCTACTGTGCTGGCCTTTGCCTTTAGCTAAGACTCACTGGTGATTTGGATACACCTCAGTGTTTGAGAGGCATTTATAATTCTTTGTCTGTTCAGGAAGAATTTTTGTCACGTTGGATAAATGTTCTCAAATATAAAATGATTGTTTAACATTCTGCTTTATGCAACCGAAATTTACTAAGCTATTTCCTAACTGCTGGGCATTGAGTAGTGAATTTTCTTGCGTTCACAATCTGTTTGTATTTACAATGGCTTGAAAGTAGCCAACAAAAATGCCCATTAAATTTAATCCTTATTGTGAGATACAAAGGGTCGAAATGTATTTGAAGGTAGGACTTTTGGGAAATACTAAAGTTACAAGGTACCTGAAGGGTAGCACTCTGGTCTGATGGGTGTGTGGCTTCAGAAGAAAAAGGAGACCCTGAGGATGGATGTCCAGTCCCTTCCACCATGTGATGTTCTACACCACCTCAAGGCTCTATGGACTCTCTCTCCACTGGCAAGTAAGACTTCACCAAATGTGGTCCACGACCTTGAACTTCCCACTCTTTCATAGCTTTTAACCCTTACAAGCAAATTACTTAACTTGGGAGATTCACTTATGGCAATAAATTGTTAGGGGGAAAGAAAGGAGGGGGGTATAAATTCCCAAAGTATTATCAGGTCTGAGTAAGTACAAAATGATTTTCAGAAAGTTGTTTTTTTTTTTTTTAAATCAATATCTATATAGTTCTAAAATTGCCTTAGTAAAGTTAGGCAAACAGAAGAGTGGCAACAATTTAAAGTTCACTGTGAGCAGCTCAAACAGTCTTCTTATAGACCTTTCTTTCTAGGCAATGGCTGCCCGTCATCTTCTCACCACACCTCAAAACCCACAACCAAAACCTCCAAACTCAATTTTAGTACGATGTGTCCCCCCTGTCTTAACAGCTAACACTCAAGTCAGAAGTTATCATCTCCAAATGACTTTTCTCAGCCTCACAGTGCACAGGCCCCACCCACCCATTATGGCTAAAGAGTACTGAAGGGCTTGCTACTGAGGAATACTGATGCTAGATTGTTGCTGTCTCCCCCTAAGGTCTCCCCAACCCTCCTCTGCCCTGCTAGTAATTCTAGGTACAACTTCCATTTGTATCACTTTCCAACCTACATTTCTGTAAGAACAACAACAAAATTGATGCTAGGCATGCTGTTGCTTTGGTTTTTCATGGAGACTATCTGCCCTGGCCGTGGGGGAGGTGAGCTCTATTTACTTATTACTTATTAGTAAGTTGTATTTCCTCAGATAGGTAATTGCACAGACTGGGATGAAAGGAAGCAAATTCCTTAACCCCGAGTGATCTAGTTATCTTCAGAGCTGCCAGAAACAAGGCACTTTGGGAAATTCTTAAAGGGTTTTTCAGCTGAGGGGGTGTAGCTTCATGAGGTACAACTCCTAGAAATGCTCCCTCACACACACAGTTAGGAAAGAAACAAAACAAGACAGACAAAAACATGGGGGTTGGGGGTGGAGTGCTGGGCATTTTACCAGAGCTGAAAGCAGCTTGATTTTATGATGCTATAATTGGGGTAACAGCTATCATGGAAACTACATGCTAAGGCCCACTAGCTATTTGGTCATTTTGTAGCCTCCTTCTAGAGCAGCCATCCAAGCTCCCTTATTCACATAATGCTCATGTGTCTCATTGGCCAAACAGAGAAACTTTGATGGCAATCTGCTTTTAAGGAATGTCTTCAAACTCCAGATTCTTTGGTATATTCAGGAGCCAAAAGGCATTTCTTTCTCTGTGACCTTTAACCTAAGTCTTCTATTCACTGTAACATTCAGTGTAAAACCAAGCTCTCCAAAATGTGCTAGGAGTCTAGAACAGGACTAGTTGTCAGAACTGACTGTGATGATGAAAAGACTTCTAGCCATACACTCTAATACAGTACACTAGCAACAGGTGGTGGAGAACTTGATATATGGCTAGTGAGACTGAGCAACTCAATTCTAACTTCCAATTAATTTATGTTTCTATCTGTCCAGATACGAGTTAGTGGCTGCAGTATAGACTCTTCAAGACCAGACTCAAAAAAAAAAAAAAAAAAAAAAATGCTGGAAAGCAACACAAAGCTTGCTATACCCCTCACCTCTAAGTGGCATTTTAAAAACCATAGTATTTATGCTACACTACTTTTCCAGAAGTTTGGAGTATTTCACACAGACAGTACATACAAATAAAGAAACATTTCAATGAAAATTCCCCCAAACTCACATTCAACCGTTAAAGAGAGATGAAAGCATGTCACAACTAGAAAATGCACATAGCATCCTTTTCTATACTACAACACTCAAGACGAGTTCTAGGTCAAAGGTCCTCTCCCCCAAGCTAAGGGCCCAACCCAATACCTAATAATAAGCACCAATTCTTGGCTTCAATATATTAAAACTGAATACAATTACGTAAGTTTAACTAAGTCTACTATATGTCCAGTGTTTCCCAAAGTTTCTACATTTTTCAAAAGTAAAATGTGCCACTAACAAAATAACCCCTCCTTCTGAGTTTAATTAGTAAATTATTTCAGCAAAATTTATGTCTCAAGACAGTCTCTCGTGAGCCTAGAAGTGTAGCTAAGCAGTAATGCTCCCAACTGGAAAACTGCAGACCTTCAGTTCCTCACGACTGCCACAATGTAACCAGAAGATCCTAATTAACTACTCAATTTAAACCAGTAACAAAGTAATGTAACCACTATCTAAAACTGGAGCCGGCTGCTTAGGAGTCTCTCTCTCTTTTTTTCTACTCTGTTTTATTCGTGCAAAATAGAGCTTCCACTACATTGCCAAGAGATGTGACATATAAATAAGACTCAGTTCTTGCCCTTGAGGGGGAGGGGGGCCCACAGCTGGGCAAAAGAATTACATATTTAAACAACTACAATACTATTAGCACGAGGGTCCCATCTTCGATGGTTTGACCTGCACAAGAGGTCATGCCGAATTTCTGGTTCGAATCACAGGCTCAGAATATAGCTGCCTATGGAATCTATCACTTACCAGAATAAATGAATTTATTCGTTGCCCCCAAATCCAGGTGCACGAAGACCCTCTCAGACCTGCACTTGCACACTCTGCCTAGGCTATCCGAACACCTATCTAGACGAAACGTTGAAGTTAGGAAGTTGGATTACGAATGGCAAGCGTACTTAGGGGTCCTACAACCACGCCTAGCCCACGAAAGGAATTCCATACTGACTCGCGGACTACAGGAAGAACATAAAGCCAGCTCCGGGTGCCTGCTCTCTTTCCCTTAGCAAGCTGCACATTTTGGAATTCCGGGATCACGTCTACCCTTCACCATCCGGCGAGAGCCACTCTAGCAGCACCCTTCAGACCTCTACAAAAGTGCACGCTCTTTCCGGGCGGCTCCGGGGAAAGTGGGAAGCCGTCCCCTAGGAGCGCGCGCAGGTGACCGTGGGCTCCGCGAAGCCGCCACGAGGCTGCGGGACCGGCTCCGGGCGCGCCTTACCCGTAGTAGCGGAACGCGTTGATGACCTTCCAGAAGTGCTCGCGCTCCAGCCGCTCCTCGTCCTCGGCAGTGCTGCGCGCGGGGGCCCCGGCAGGCGCGGCCGAGCCCAAACGCCCGGCGGAGA